CCGCCGCACAGACAGGGCCACGCCGGCAGCGGCGCCGCCATCCCGCCGCCACGGCAACGGGCCCGGCACAGCGCAGCTGTCCGGGGGGGAAGGAGGACAAGGACGCTCTCCATGCAGCTTCCCTCCGCCAGGACGGAGGAGACGGCCCTCCGGGGGACTCGCGGAGGCTCGGGCCCCGTGAGCAAGTGAAAGCTCGGTCGTGTGTTCATCCCTGGGACCAGGCGAAGAACAGCCCCGCCACCATCACCCCGCCCGGCGGCGGTACCGCCCCAATTACAGGCGGCGTTCTGCACTGCTCGCGAGCGTTCGGTGAGTCGGTCGCCATGGGAACGGCTGCGCTGCCGCCCTCCCGCGGTGGGGTCTTGCGGCTCCTGCGGTCATGGGAAAGGGCTTCCTGCCTGCTGGAACCTCCCGGGAGGTTATGTTTTGTTCGTTTGTATGTTTATTTTTTTTTGTTCTGGAGTCCCTTGTGTCTCAACTGTTGCTTATCTTCGGCTTCTTCGTTTGTGTTATTTTGGGTCTTTTGCACTTGCCTCAACACCCGCCCCGGGAAAATGAAAGAAATTCTTTTAAAAAGGCCTCACACGTTGGGGAACAGCCGCCGGTAGCGAGCGCCTAGAGATGGCCAGGGATCGCCGGAGGCTTTCCGGGCTGGCCCTCGCCGGCCGCTCCGGGATGCCACTACGGGCATCGGATCGGTCCTGGTGCAGGTGGTCAGTGGTGTGAAGGGGCCTCTTCAGTGGGTGACAGTTATGAGCTGAAATGAATGAACGAAGATAAACTACTCTTGTTCTTCTCTGCCCACTTCTTTATACTGTGTCATGGTATGGACCTGTATACGTGACTCTGCCTTGTTTCTTGTGCTGAAACATATACATGTGGGTCTTCGGAAAATTACTGGTGCGTGAATTCACATACCCAGCCAATTCCTGTGAATTCACGCAGTTTTCGCAGAGAACCATGCACTTCTGTTGTTTAAGCTCAAAATTGCGTTGGGACTGGGAGTGTAATTTGTTTGCATCTGGGAACTCCCTCTCTTTAGAACTACTGAATATAAAAAGCTTTTGGCTGCCTTATTTGATAGGTTCAAGATGTCTATAAAATACCCTCATTCTTTTGTTGATGCTAACTTTGCTAGTCCCATGTTTTTAAAAAAAGGAAAAAAAAAAAGCCATGACATTTCCTTTGTTGTGAGATTACTTTTAAGATTTAAGCCATTCAAAGGTTTTTTGACACTAAGCACATCTGAATATTGGGGTTGGCTTGATGGTATAAATATATATTTGTTCATATATTTAAAAGTGTATACCTGAGTGTCAAACTAGTCTGTATTAGAAAGATGTCTGAAGATTGAATTGCTAGAAGGGATTTGAAACTTGTTTAATCTACATCTGAAATATTACTGGGCTTGTGTTCCTTTGTTGCTTTATTATGAAATTGATAGTTTGGAAGGTTGTTTCTGTTTCTCAAATTTTCCAATTTTAGGTGACAATGGATATTACAAGGGGGAGCTTGGATAAAATTTCAAGGCCTGCATCTAGCTCAAGAGCTCATCTTAGCTGTAGATCTTTAAATACATCTATGGAGTTATTAACACCAGAGCCATGTTTGTCAAAGGTAATTCTTTTCACTTTCAGTGGGTTAGGGAAATTATGCCTAATTCTTAGTAGATTGACAAGGAAATAAGATTCTGCTTTTTTAGCTTCACATACATTTCTGGGCTCTGCAGGTGTGCTGGGGCATTATGTGAAAGTTCATGAATGTGGGCTGCTTCTTATGCATACATGGAATGATGCTTAATTTCATTTTTCTGAAAATCTCTTCTATATTTGCCTTAGAAAAGGCTATTCAGCACTACAGCTTGGAAAACTTGGTTGTCTTCCTCTTTATATTTAATCGGATTATTAAATAAATTATATTTTAAGGAAAAACATTTGAACTTCTGGCAGTGATGTGTAGATACACAGCTATAGACTGGTGCATGAACCAGTACGTGCAAAATTTTACCTCCATTCCAGTTGTGATTTTAAGTTGGAATAAAAATTTTTTTGCTTATTAAAAAACATTTGAGCAAACCTCACAAGTTAAATTTTTGACTACAAAAATGTTTGAATGTTTGATATGTTTGAATCAATTTTAAAAAAATTTTTGTAGTATTCCAAGAAATATGTCGGCTTCAGGGATTCAAGCAAAGTCTGTTGGAAGTAGGTGTTCATCCATCCATCCTCTGAGAAAATTATCGGGGATTAACTTAATTTTGGGAATGGGTTATGTGATATGGTTGTTCGGAGGTACAAAAAAAGGATTTGGGGATTAGATATTTAGATTGATTTACTTAGATTAGTCCAATTGTATTGTATCTCTGTTCACCTGTCTGTAGAATGAGATCATACCTAGAGGCTTCACAGAAGTATTAAAAATACATTTTTAAGGTTCACAGTTGGGAGTAAAGGTTAATATCAGATCTCTCTGAATCCAGGTTCTGACCTAAACATCATAGGCTATTGCATGAAAATTGTAATCTCTTGAAAGTGATGAATTAAGCATAAGATTTTCAGCCTTCAAAGACTATACAAAACTCCATAGTATGAGCAAGAGATTGGGATGCTACCAGAGCACCCAGAGGAACTGTCAGGAAATAAATGAGGCTGTTGTGCACACAGACTCTTTAACTGGTTGGCTGTACCCTCTGCTGCAGCAGAAATGGCATAAACCTTTGGAATCATTTCCTATCCTGGCAATCCTAAATCTGGCAGTCAGTGGAATGATAACCTTGAGAATCAAAGCGATGCCTAAGAAACAGAACTCTGTTTCAGATCTGAAAATGGTTCTTCTAGTTAAGAAGTACTCTGCAGTCTTGTACCGAATTTTTGTTAGCCTTTGTGATTAGTATGAGTATCTTTTGCTTCCTCCCTAAGATTTCTATTTTTATGAAGTAATTAATTTGCATTTCATAGGTTGATTCACCTGTCAGTTTGGCTGGTGGTCATCAAAGAGGCAGTCTAGAAGACTGCTGTGCAGAAGAAGACAAAGATGATGACAGAGAGAAATCTGATGTCAAGGACATAAGATCAGATCAGCAAACCACAGTGGAGAGTAAGACCTTCTTTCTTCAGAAGTGTATACTGAATCCCAATGAGTTTTCAGGTGTGAGCATGATGAACACTGTCTTGTGTTGTGACTAGACCAAATACCATGCTTGTATAGTTTGGGTGAAATTCTACTGGTGGAGGGAAAAGAGGATGCAAATAGGTAAAATTCTAGAAGAGAAGGAGGTGTCAAAATTCATACTATCCCTTCTCTTTACTGTCCCTTCTCTTTACTATTTTGAATGCATCTTTGAAAGAAATATGTTATTACTGTCATTACCACTACAGCATGTATGTCTTGTGGCATTTAAGCTGTGACCTGCACCTTGGTGATGGCCTTAAAAGATCAGGAGAAGCCATCTGCATGTGTTCCATGGAACCATGTTAGAAAGTGTTTTCGGTAAGGTGTTTTTTTTCACAAAGACCATGATCATTTCATAGAAACTTTTTTTCCTATTAATGCTCCACCAGTCCAAAAAATTGGAAATTTTGTTATAGTATTTAACAACTGAGCAATGCTAACACTAGTTACATACTTTAAATATAAATATGCAATATCTCATTTTAATGAAAGCACTTATAGAGAAATGCTTTAGATGTCATTCTTTTGGCATTCTATATATGGTAATAAATTAACTTTCTAGAACTTCGGAATATTTAAAAATAGAGAAGCAAAGGCCAGTATGTGAAGCAGAAAGTTTGGATCCCTTCTTCAAGTTTAAGAAAAAATTTTGTGACAGAATTGGGGTCAAAAGAAATCCCTTGATTCTTGCTTCTCTGTTTAACATGAGTCCTGGTGTACTAGTAGATACCATTTTTTAAACAATAATCCACTGCAGAGTATCCGTGGTGATCCCTAACTGACAAAAAATGTATTTTAGTCTCTTAATTGTTAACATCTCAAACAGTATCTTTAAAAGTTTATTTCACATCTCTTTTATTGTGAAAGGGTTTTTCCTGTGTTTTTCAGGATGTCTCTCGAATTCGGATTCTGGAAGTGATAGCACTGAAACACAGGCTTTGAAATTGTGTGAATCTTCCAAGGGAGAACCAAGTGATGCAAAAGCAGGTATTACTTTTCAGGTGTGACCAGTGCAATATAACCAGTGACTAGTGCAATAAAACTTTTTTTTTCCCCTTTTCTTGTTAGTGCTTCTAGGAGAGTTTGGGACCATAGTGTATTTGGGTGTATATTGTATGATATCATTATAAAGAAATATTACAAATTGAAAATGTATATGCATTGTGATATTCAAAGGGTGTTGGATGAATTATTTATTTAAAGATTATTTTATTAAAGGATATTAATTTTCTTTAGTGATATGATATTATTTGAGTTTTACATGGGTTCGGTCAATCTCATAATGCAGAATCCAGTGGCGATTCTATCTAGTGCCACAGTGCTGATCTGACATCATAATCATTTCTTCAGATCAGAAGTTGGATAGAACTCAACTTCAAAGCTTCACTCAGTAGTTTTAAGTTCAAATCCATCTGTTGGGTTCAGGCCAGTTGAAATAAATGCTCTTATCTTCTCTCCTTGGGGCTTCCCTGGAGCTCAGATTTTTATAGCTCTTCCCTTGTTGTATCATTCAGCAATTTTTATGGCATAAAGTAGACTAATGCATGACAGTAAATGCTTGGGATCAATGGGTGTGCAAAGCATTTGACCTCAAAAGATTAAAAAATGAAAAAGTATTGCAGGACACCGAAACTTGCAAGTCTGTGGGATAGGGACAGTGCTACAAGTGTGTCCTCTACTCTTGCTACGGAAGCTAAATTTAACCACAAAAGAGGGCAGAGCATGAAGGGGAAGAGCTAAAAGTGAACAAAAATGGTAATCTGCATGTTTAGGAAAAATAGAGACAATACAGAAATCTATTTTAATTAAGTAACGGTAGTTACCATAATATTTCACCATTCCTGTTTTTCAGAACAACATTTTTCTAGAACCAGTATCAGAATCTAGTTTGGCTGAGATAAGTCAAGACTGAAAATTCTATAACATTTAGAAGTAGAGATATTAGAGTCTCCCTTAACCCCAGAATTACTCAGTTCTATGAATTACATTTCAGCATGTATCCTAGTCAGGCTGAAGAAATTATTTTTTTATTTTTAAGCTTATTTTGACTGTGATTTTTGCTGATACTGTGGAGATTTGTCAAACTTCCATTATAAATTTGAATTTAATCACTTGCCCAAAATGGGGGGGTCATCTTCCCCCACACCCCCATATCCAACTGCTACAGCTCAGAGTTCGATTCAGCATTCTGTTACAAAGACTTTTATATTTTTTCCTCCTACAAACAGGTTTAGAAATGAACACGCTTGAGAATAATTATCCTCTTGTCTATGGTGGTTATCAAATTACTTGTACTGCTTTTTAGTTTGGTTTTTTTTTTTAGCTTGAAATGCTTCAAGCTAACTTTAAATGTATTCTACAGCAAACTCTTCCAATTTGGAATATTCCGAAGAAACAGATGTAGATCCTCAGATTGAAGCAGCTATAAAGAAAATGAATAAACTTGACACAATACTGGCACAACAACGTTTTAAGGAGAAAGCAATTAAAAAGCAAGGTGAAGAAATGAGGGCAAAGCTCTGGGAAGAGCTTCAGGTTAGAGGAAAATATGTTCTGCCTATTTTGTAAATAGTATATCTTGGACTACTGTCTTACAAAATTATTTCACAGATGTGTTTTATTAAATAACTCACAGTTGGCTGATTAAAGAAATGGATCTTAAAAAGTAACTTTGAATAGATTTTTAATATCTATTGGCTAGACAGGCTTTGAAAGAAGGCCATCGTCCTTAGAAATCGATACGACCAATAGCCAAATACACAGCTGCCTAGGTGTGGTTTACTAGCATAGTTTTATGCTTGAGCTCGCTACTTACAGTTATGATAAAGCGTGGCAAGAGCTAATGTCTGTGAACCCAGACCTAAAAGCCTTTATTTTGCTCTAGCGTGACTGTTCTTAAGCCCATTTATTTCATACTGTCTATGACTGAGGAAATTAGAGATGCCCCCTGAAGAAGGTATAAGAATGCTGAAGAACAAATTCCTTCACGTTATTCCTGTGGTGGTCTCCAATAGTTAAATGTCACTTTAAGCCTTGAAGCATGAGAGTTAGTATTACCTCTGAGCTTAAGTATTGTGCAATTTACAGGAATACAAATGTCAGTTGCTGAAAAGACATGATTGCAGCTGGTTTGACTGCATCTCCTAATTTCAGTGGGTTTGGATTCAGAGCCATATATACATTACAGAACTTTTTTGTCTTGTGAAATGTGCCTTCATGTAAGAGACAATACATAACAGAGGCTTTAAAGTTCCACCATGCCTTTATCATAACTTTAGGAGATGATCAGATAGCTCAAGAAGAAAATAAAGCTCTAAGTAAATGCTGCCACTGAACAAGGAATTTCTCACAGGGTCTGAAGTTCATTAGACCTGATAAGCAGACAACAATATTTTGCTGTAGAGTATTTACTTTAAAGCAAATAGTATTTCCTTTAAAGCATATATATGCCTTTATCTGTATATTTGTGCTTTATTTCTTTTGACTAGTCTATCAGAACCACTGGAAGCCATGAGGAGATAGAAAACACAAACCTTTTTTTAGCTTTGATCTCATCATGGCAGGATACAGCTGGTAAGTAAGAAAGAGAAGTAAATACTCTGATATAATTATCCTGTATTTTGATTAATATTCATATTTTTGATGGATACTGTAAAAATAAAGCATTCAAACCTATACAATAAAATAATATTTTCATGTAAAAGTACATCAAGGGAATATTTGAAAAATCAACGGAAACAATTTTTGCATTATCACAAATGTAGAAGTTGTACTTTAACATTAATTTTGTTTATAGAAACTTCACTTTTTCAAAGAACTAGCTACTCTAGAAGCGTAGAAATTCAGGATAAGTAGAGATTGCATTTTTTTTCGATGGCAAACACAGATGATTTCAGAAAGGATGCATGACTGATAACACTGTCAAAGTAATGATAGCAGGTACAGGGAAAGCAGAGTGGAATCCTGCTGAAAAACTTGGATGTCTTTATCATTTTGGGTTATCTGGGCAATAAGCAAGGAATTCAAAATCACTTTGGTAAACAAACAAAACACAAAGTTACTGGTGTGTGGTTACTGGTGATCTTGGAGAGTTTGCCAGTCTGGAGTACTTGCTGTAGAAAGGGCAGGCAGTTAAAAAAATACTAGGCCTAAAAATATTACTTAGAAGCCCTAGGGATGTGAGCACTGCCACACACGTATCTTGGAGAAAGTTTTCATGTGGGAGTGGGGGAGAGAGTGAGAAGGAAGCAATGGCAGTGCCATGGTAAGGATCTCACAATATGACAGGTCCCCAGGGAGGGAAATCCTGAACCTTTTTATGAATTGTTAACAGAAGAACCAAAGCAGTGGGACCAAATTTTGGTACCGAGTTATGTGTTGGAAAGCAATACAGGAAGATTTATGCACAGCCCATGTCTTGGAACTTAGTCCAAAAGGGAGTATGGGTCATTTACATGAAATTTGATACTGATTATGTAACATTTAATTCACTTCTAAAAAAATTTAAGATTCTGAATGTGAGAGAGAATTTCAGTAAAAGGGATCACCAAATAATATAGAGTATGATTCTAAGCTCATGAAAAGTCATGAATATTAAACATGAACTGATTTTTTTTAATCTGCTTTTTTTCCTGAGAATTCTAGGGAAGAATATGCAGGCTAGATGGAAATTTTAAACAGTGAAACTATGTTACAGATATGCCAGCAAACTATGCCTAGGGAGAAAAAACCAAAGTCTGACAAGATAATTTCTGACTTTCATCATCATATGACAATGAAGTCAAAAATGTTCAAAGTAGAAATGAACACACCGATAAGAATAAATGTTTGAATTTTAGTCTTTTAGTATATTTAAGTTAACATTTAAAACACCAAATTCTATAGCTGCATTAGAAGTAGACAAATGACTAATGTAAGACTGAGTTCTTTAAAGGTAAACACATGATACAAAGAAATGCAGGACGTGATACATAACAAGAAAAGACTATGATCAAAATTACAGTGAATACCAATAATGTAAAGCTACAGTTAGAATATGGAAAGAAAAATTTAAAAACTATTTAGAAGTGTTTTCTCTACCGAGTCAGAAGGACACAGTTGGAGTTCTAAAGCAAGTAGATGAAGCATGTTCTGAAGTATTGGTAGTTTTCTTCAGGAATGCACAGAGGCTGTGGGCCCTTGCAGGGACCTGGAAAAAGAAAATCTGGGTATTTTAAAACGTTATTTTTCTTTCTGTAGCTAGACTCTTACTGGGAGAGATGCTGGAACAAACTGTAGGCATTCTGCTCACAATGTCTCTATTGGGAGGGGCAGGGGGAACAAAACCAGACTGAATTTTTCAATATGCCATGTCAAAACTGCTCAAGAGTGATTTTAACAAATTTGCTGTCTCAGTACTCAGTCTCGGTGCTGGAGTTCTCACAGATGTGTCAATCATAAGCACATTTGCATCCTGTCCTTCATCTGTATACCTTGGTTGAAAGGAAACAGAATTGTGATGTATCCTGTCTTTTCTTGGGGAGAGAACGAAAATTTGAACTCTGGTTATTGCTGAGCAAAAATCTCAGCTTGAATGTTGGAAGTACGTGCATAATAATGGTAGCAGTGTGTGTGGTTAAAAACTTACTATTACAAGGTAACCTGCTTTTATTTCTATGCTAAAGATTGGGTTGTTAGGGGAAGAACACAGATTTTGATACAGGTGATATTTGAAAAGTCTCCAGTAGATGTCAGGGTATAGTAAAAAACGAGGAAGCAAATAAGACTGTATGGTTGTTAATGAACTGCACGCTACAACTCCTCTTCTATTTCAGAGGTAACTCCTTGCTGTAGAGATCACATACATCATATGAGTTCTGGTGTATTCTATGGGCAAAACCCTGCATAGTTTAGATTTATATTTTTCCTCCAGCTTGATCTTTATCTTGGGTTTTCTGTGACATGCTAGTGCCTTATTTTTAGGTCTTATTTATTTATTTAAATTCATGTCCTGATAGTTGCCCTAGTTGATACTTGAATGGAATGCAATTCATATATTTTGCTTTTCAGAGCTTGAATGTAATAAGGAGCTTTACTGAAGAAATTATATAGTGGAGCTATTTAATTTTAGCTTTTAATACGGCTGTGAAATCAAACATAAGTTCCAGGTACAAAATTATTAATAAATTATGTGTCCTAGCCTCTCAAACACGAAAAACCCCTCTAACACACTCGTGGAAGAAATATAAATCAGAAATTATTAAACAGCCTTAAATTCAATCCCTGTGCTCTGTGTAACAAAATCATACTTTCAGTTAAGTCCATTAAACATCATTATTACAGGATGTTGTTTTTTTTTTTCTTTTTCATTGTGAAAAACACATTTTTCATATGTGATATATATGGTTCTTTGCAGTACAAGTCCTTTTTTTGTAAGTGCTGCATGTATAGACTGCAAGTTAGTGCTGTAACTTATACTTCTAGTTGATATATGTCAATACTGTGATGGAATATTTTTCTTTGAGTAACTGAAACAACTCTTGCATGCTAGGATCTTTGAACCCTTTTTTTCTATGCCCTTGACCTAAGCCACTTGAAAGTCTAATAATTCATGCACAGGCAGACACCAGCTGGGGAGACGTGGATACTTTATTTTCATTGAGAGTTCTAGATGACTCATCACGTGGTGTCTGGAGAGGCATTTGAAATTTAGGGCCTTGGGCTGTGTCTTCTAGAATGTAATAACTTGTCCTGTATGGGCAGTAGTTGTTAAAAACAAAACCAGCCATATGAACCAGCATAATTATTCATGAGACACACCTTACACTTTTCCTCCTTCTTTATTTATTGAGAAATATGGTGGCCATGTAATTTATCCAACTAAATTTCTTTAACTTCCATGTGTGAGGTCTTATAGTACGATACATGTGAAACTAGATCTTCTTTAAATACATTTCAGTTAAATTTTACTGAAAAAATTCCTTGCAGATCCCTCCCATGCTAAAGAAGATGAAATAGGTACTTCAGTATTTCACACACAAATTAATCCAGAAGATTATGATTGCTCTAAAACCCAACCTAATCATGGTAGGCTTCATTAATGATACAGTTTGTATTTCTAGATATGGCAAAATGAACATGTTCAATGGGTGGGTAATGAAGACTTGGCATTTGTGGCTAGACCAATGAAATCAGAAGAAGCAAGGTTGCTTACTGGAATGGCAACAGTTACTAATTTTTTACAAATGATAAAAGAGAATAATTTTTTTGTGACTTACCTAAAACATTTCACTCAACATGCTAAGAAAATTTGTACTTTCGGGTTTATAAAACTTTTTTTTTTTCCTTTCATTGCAAAATGATGAGGTGTAACTGATTTGCTGTAAAATGTATCATTGGTTCTTCGTGGAAATTCTTTAAAAACATCTTTGCTATTATTCTACTGTATTGTAACTTTCATTAATAGGCTTATATTCAAGAAACCATGTAAAAATGAAGAGTGGTGCTGTATAGTTTCTGTCATTTTTTTGGTCTTCAGGAGAAATTGTATAGATGTGACAAACCTAAATCTTCAGACAACTCATTTTATATTTTGTTATGCTGATTATTGTAAAGGATGCATTGCTTTTATGGATCAAGTACTTTCTGGCAAATCCCAAACATCTGTGCTGATTCTTTTAGACATCATTTGTTTACATGCACTGTATAGAGGTTTTAAATGCTGGTAGTAGTGTAGTGTGTCCAACACTTCAAAATAAATGGAATTGTGCTTTTGTGCCTCTGTTCCCTCCCTATTTGAAATTCAAATTTGTGTGGTTGAGTAACTTCTCACATGTGTTGTGACATGAGAAGAATAGCTTCAGCTGCCATTGCTATCAGCTGCAATTGTTTATTTCTTTGTCATCTACCATTCTATGTAAACAGAAGGAATCTGTCTTCCTGGTGACTCCTAACATGACAAGGACATAATACATGAGTGTTCCTTAAGGTTAAACCACTGATAGGAGCAGAATCTGCACTTGTTAGAATGTGACTCTATGTTTTAATTTTTAAACCTAGACCTCAGCTCCCTTATCGTTTTATCACTTGTCCTAGTCTACCAGTATCTGGCCTTAACTTCTTGTTATTAAATGTTTCTTCACACTGGGTTGGATCAGTGCTGTGCTTTTGGTTTCTCTGTCTTCCTACTATGTGTCTTCATTCCTCCCTTAAAATGAAGCTAGACCCTCAGCTTCCACCTTCACAATTTCTGAGTTGTGCTGGAGCATCCTTACATAGCAATGGCAGGTTTCATTACCCAGTATTCAGGACAGCAATAGCTTCTGAAACTCCCAGCCCAGGTGTGGTTGGGAGTTGCTGTTGCTCATGCTATTCTGAGATGTTCTACATCCTTCTAGTTTGTGAATACGTGAAATAGAGATCCCATAAAATTTATGAGCAATAAATTACTTTTAGTATTTCTGCTGGAGGCTTTTGATATGGTTTCCGAATAGCTAAGACTCCCCGTTTTGGTTGCTTTTGGATTTCTGTGTAACAGTTGTTGTAAAGATATACCCTGAACAAGAAGAGCTTAACTTGTGAAGAAGAATATATGTATTAGTTTTATAATATTACTTTAGCAGTCTCATCAAGATTTGTTTCAAATCTTTGAAATTTGTACCAAATCTACCAAAATGCATATGCAAACTTTGTTGAGCTGCAGTCTCTCTTTTACTTACCCGTGGCAGTCTTCAGTGTATTCTTTGTCCCAGTGATCTGTATCTGTCCTTGCTTTACTGGAATGTTTTGAGATGTTCTGTATGGTAGCTCCCTCTCAAACATGATTATTTTACAGTTTGAGAAAGATCTAGCTTAAAAGTAATGTTTGATATAAGTTCCATGTTATGTTGGTGTTTGGTGTGTTTTGCTCATTTCAAGATACAACTTGTCATGTTTGTATTGATTGGTAGATTCTTAGATGATCCAGTTCCTTGATGGATTCAAGATGTTACTTGGTAATGTTAAATATAGTTTGGGATGCTTTCAGTAGAGGGTTGTGCATTTGAACTGTGACAGGGTTTTCTTGGTCAGATCCAACATAATTTACCTGCAATTTGAGAGTAAGTCTGATTGGTGAGAATGTTACACAGTTTTTGTCCATAGTGTGTGAAAGGATACAGGAAATTTATTTAATATCTTTGGGATGTTGCTTTCAATCTACTCACTGGGAAAAAAGAGTCACTTCCATGTAAACTTCCATAGTCTATCTTCTATTATCTAACACTTTAAATTTTATTTTTCTTGGTAGGCAAATACCCCACCCATTTTTCAAATCTCTGCTTTCCAAAAAACCAAAAACTACCATGCCTACTTTTGAAGTAATTTTTGAGACTTAGAAGTTGGTTTTATTTGCTTAGACTTGTTATTTAATGTGTTAAAGATTTGGTGTTCATAAAGGAATTGCTGTTTTAAAACTGGTAAAAGTCTCTGAAAAACAGAATTTATGCCTATTTTAGTACGATGGGTAGAAACTCACTGATGAAAAAAACATACGTGTAATGTTGTCAGAATATCATGTGGCTGTTTAATAGCTTTACATCTCTATGATGAGTTTTCTTTTTAAACAAAATTTGTTTTATAAGCTGTGTTATAATAATATCAACTATATCATCTGTTCTTCAGCTGTTTTATTTTAAAAAATGTACTTGATATGTCTCCAAATAGTTCTGTGGTTTTCAAAAAAATTATTGTCTGGTTTTATACTGATGATAATACTGAAACAATGATAGGGTTCGAAGGAATGCCGTGGCTTTTAAAGCCGCCATGTTTAACATTTTTGAGGTCAGAAGTCTAAAAGTATTTTAGCCTTCTCAACATTGATCTCATATAATAAAAGCTTAAAAATGAAATTAGATTTTGACAATAGTTATGTTTTAAATATAACAATATAGTTTATATAGATAATGAAAATGGCAATAAAAAGTTATCCACTTTACATGTTTGTTAAAGATTTAAATGGGATTGCTTTTATTACCGCTCTCATTGAATCAGAAAAGGAATGATCATAACTTAGCAACTTTTCTTCCCCAAACTTCAGATTATCCAAGTGAATTAGAAACAAATGAATTTCCTAATCAAACAGAAAAAACATATAGCAAGAGTAAAAATCAGGATTTCATTAAAAAGAACATTGAGGTAAGCATTGAAGCATAAAATCATTAACATTTTGTTAAATGTTAAATGAAAAAAATAGTATATAAGTATGTCTGGAGACAGATGGGTTTTTTAGTCAGAAACATAACATTACGCTAATTAGGCATAAATGAAAAAACCCTTGATGTTAAAAAGTGTTGTTTATGGCAGATTATAAGATAGTTCTCATCTTGGATGCTTATATTGGTGGGGATGTACTGCTTATATGTATTTGCTAAAGAGCGCTGGAAACAGTTGTTCCATTTGTGCCTGTACATAGCTTGTTTTGAGGGCAAACATTCCCTAAGACTTTCTTTAAATGTATTTACTGTTAAGTTAAAGGAAGAAGATGTTCTGATGCATAGGTAAGGAATTGGTATGCAGGTTACTCATGTGTAGCCTGCATGAGACCCTTATTTACAGAAGACTTCTTACTGTCAGAAAACAGCTTTTTCAGGCTTTTTTTTTTTTTTTTTTCTGTGAAGACCTAGTAGTTATAATGATTTTTTGATCCAGAGAAAAATATCTGCACCCTCACTATGTCAAAGACTGTTACAAGATTATCAATTTATTATATGTAGGCTGCTAGGTTTTTTCTGTCAGTATTAATTTGTATTATGGCAATAAGCAAGATTTAGATGTTAATTTCACAGAGTTTAAAAACTTTGTTTTGGTGCTGTTTGAGTTAATGGAGTTCTAAAGTTTGTTTATTTTTACTTTTTGTAAATATTTCAGCTAGCAAAGGATTCAGGAAACCAAATTGTTATGCTTGAGGGAGAAAGGAAAAGGCTAATTGAACTATTGAAAGATACAGAAGATGGAATTGAATTGCAAAGTCTTGAGGTATGGCAACTTTAATTTGTACTGCTGTGTTGTATTTGGCATATTTTTATGGCAAATCTAAATTTGATTTGGTTTTAGTCCTACCGTGAAGTAAGCTACTGAGATATGAGAGAAAAGCTGGACAAATCCAATTAGCTTTGTCTCCAAGAAGGAATTTTCTTTGGTTTCTCTGTTCATTTTACTCACACTTGGACATGGCTGGCCTCAGAAAAACAGCAGAACTTAAAAGTTCAACATGGAAGGAGCCTTAGAAGCGCACTTGGAGAAGAGATGACCTGTTTTCTCTGCAGAACATGTGAAGTTGCAGCCTATCAATCTGAGGGGCTAGTCCTGCAGTCTCAGATAGAAGAGTCAACAACTACTTAAACTCCCAAGAGTTTTTTGAGGACATGAACTTCAGAATGCAGCGATTGGGGAAATATATATTGATGGAGCTTATGTGTCCATTTAGAAAGATAACAGGACATCTTTGGGTGGCTTTCAACTCACTCTGTCTTAAAAGTATACAGAGGAGCCAAAGTCTGATTAAGTATTAGACATTTATGTTTGAACATAATATTGGTAAAGAGTGTATAGTCTGCATACTGCAGTGGACAGCAAGAGCTGAAGTAGACAGAAATACCCTTCCTCATGGAGAGTAAAAAAGCATGTTTGGTTGTCCTACCAATCACTGCTTCTAGGAGAGTCTGTGCCACCAAATGATTCCCAATAATGTGAAGACATCGAATAGTCTTTTGATCTCCCAGTTACAAGGAGATGGACTTTCTTTTACACTGCTTTGAGGGGAATGTCACAGTGAAGGAGTTCTCGGGAGCTCTGTTGTTTTACAGAAGTAATCAAGGCTGCTAGGATGGGAAAATAAAATTGGGCTTGAAATATGAATTGTACTAGAAACTTACAGTACTTTTGAACTCTATATTGAACATGGTAAAGATACGTGTTTTCATAGAATGAACATCCTCAAACTGTGTAAACTTGATGTAATGCTTCAAGAAACCTGGATTTTAATAAATAAGAAAAAATATTGGGGGAGGCGCTTGCTTTGTGTAAAGAAATTAGGTGACCTTCCTAATTTGTTTTACATTAAAATGTACGTTAAGTCTGTAGTAATGTTATGAACTTTTTCACAATATTTGCAAGTATACACTGAATCACAGCACCTAAGAAGAAAGATGTGAACTCTGTGTAGAATGAACAAAATATATCCAAGGTCTGCTTTCTGTTTTAATTTATACATTGAAAATTATGTGGAATTAATTATTTTTCAGTAGATTAACTTAGGTGTGAGAGAAAGGAACAAAAGCAAATGCAATTTTTTTTTTAAATTATCTCTTCCCATATTTTATTTCGAGTTATTTTCTAATAAGGTGGTGAAGACATCCAAGAGGTGATGCTCTTCATTAATCTTTTCTAAAATGTGTCTAAGATCCATCTTTATAAATGAGGTAAGGAGCTGAGCTCAGGATTTTCTTCATATGAATCCAAACTAGTTATGGAAACAGAGAACTAACCAACCCATGGTTTGTGACATTAAACAGATTTGTGATTTACCCAACTTCAGTGTGAATTCTGGGCTGAAACTCATTCAGTTTGTGGTCCAAAACTTTTCTCTGTACTCTAGGGAAACTAGTAAATATACACTATGTTTTGGCATTCTCAGAGCTTTGTGAGGCAAATATAAGTGGAGTCCATATCAGTCAGGAAAACCTGATGAACAAACGACTGAGATTGTATAAATGTACATTTTAACAGTATTTTAACAATAACTGTTCTTTCACAGTTAGAAGAAGCACAGAAAGCATAACATTCGGTGGTCATTGGTATGCAAAGGTTTAAAACTATCAGCCACACAGTGCTTGTGGTCATGAGACTTGAAAACTTCGACTTCTGTAAAATTGCACCATCTTCCTGTTGTGACCTGGCATTTGTTCCCTCATTTTACATAGAAAGCTTATTTAATTTGGGGGGGGCATGAACACTGAGCTTGCAGACTGACTTATTTGTCTGTGTAAAATACTCGTCAGTTAATGACGTTGCACAGAGATGTTTGACTTAGCTGATATAGTTTATCATTAAAAAAATGCAGTGGAAGGCTCTTTGGTCTAATGTTGATCTACTGGCTAGGAGAGTTGATTTTTATTGTACTTTTAATTTGTTGCATATTAGAAGAAGAAAGGTAAAGCTCACGAGATCATTGTTTAATTAAGCTTTTGTCTGTGCGTTTAGGAAAATGTTCAAGGTATTCTATTAGATCTGTTTGCAACAGGCTTGACATTATAGTCTCACATAAGGGTGACAAAATGTTCATCTGAAGGAGTACTTCATCCATCCTTTGAATAGGAAGAAACTGTGGGGAGAGGGTTGTGGGGGTTTTGTTTGGTTTTTGTTTCTCTCCTCTTGTTGGAAAGGTTGGTGTTTGATTAAAAATACCATCTCTTTTGTTCTTTTTTTCTGATCAAAGACATGTTTCAATTTGAGGAGATGGTCCTTCATTTCATAAATGTCAGCATTTAAAGATCTGAAGAGGTTTTAAACAGTATTCTGTTAGTAAACATTGTAGCTTTGTGACCTAGAGAATAGTGGCTTTTAAAAATACTATTTTACTGATTGCAAAAGCCTTCTCTCACAATATGTAAATGGGCTTTCTTTTTCTTCAAGCTAGTCTTCTTCATAAAATGTAGAGGCTTTCATGCAGAATAGCTAATGCAAATTCTGACTATCAAGGTGTACATTTTTTTTTTCACCAATTCTGAAGGCATCAAGGCAAAGGCAAAGTATAACATTTATCCAAATTTTCTATTTGGCACATGTTGCTATCATGTGGGCATGTATCTATAGAGATTTTACTATTTATATCAGATATTAAATAGGTCGCTACACAGCACATGTGTGTTCCTATATGTTCTTGATGCAATGGACAAGAATGTGAATGATAATTTGTGTGTTAGTCTAGTCTGTACTAGATCTCTTTAAAGAAAACAGCTCCTAAATCTACTGCCAAAGTAGAATAGAATAAAGGATAATATTTAGTTACTTAAAGCTGTCTAGTCTGGAGATAGATTCTTCCTCTCCCACATTTGATTTATATTATGGGTGAAGCATTTCCTGTGGCTGCTTTATAACAAAGATCATGAGGAAATTATCAGCTAATGAGTAATCTAGACTGCTTCAAGCTAGCCCAGGTAACTGTCCAGCTGATGGCCCCTTTCATCTTATTTCATTCTGACTTTTAAAAAGCTGGTGCAACTACACTGGCTAAAGTAATGTTTTGGAGGTTATCAATCAAGGCAGAGCTGGATATACTGCATGAATTCCTCTGCATAACGTAATGTGGATTAGATAATTTCATTTGACTCATACTACTAATCAAATACCCAAACAGCACTTTTCACTTTTTAAAAAAAGTGTTTTATGAGTATTTAAAATATTTTAGAAGTACATATTCATGCTAATCTAATTGTCAAAGCTGCAGGGGTATAATTTGTTTCAGATGTTCCACAGTAATAAACACTTGAATATGCTGTTATAAAAGTGTTGTTCTGAGTTAACACACAGGAAACACTGACAGGTCAGAAGCTTATTTTCCAAGCAAAGCCATCTCGAAAATACTAAAGAGAATGTGTGAGTCAATTTAACCCTGGAGTAAAGTGACTATTGGAGTAATTTGGGTACTTGGAACATGGGATATGAGTGTCAGATAGACACTGAGCTAACAAGCTGGTTGCAGCTTAACTGACTCCTGTAGAGTAATTTCTGTGTGTTTGCCTGTGCTCTTCAGTGTCAGGTTTAAGGGGTGATTCACATAGCACAAGTGTAGTACCACATTTGATACTTATGTTGTGAAGGTCACGGTCTCACCTGAACAGATGCTTCCACTGAGCTGGCAAGCTTCTAGAGACATTTCTGAGTGGCTGTTCTGGAGTCAGGTCATGTCTGAGCAGGCTTACCAGTTGTGTCATCATACTTGTATGAGAAGGCATTATAAGAACTGATTTTGTTTCACAAAAGAGATGACTCTCTCTCTCTCTCTCTCTCCTTTTTTTTTTTTTTTTTTTTTTTTTTTAATTTAGTATGGAGGTAATTTATGACAGGTGTTTGGGGTATGCTCTTTTCTTTTTGCAGCCAGCGTGCTTTAGGGTAATGGGGATGAACCAGGGATGACCTCATAGCAGTGGTATTGTAATTGGAAGCTGGTATTTCCTTCTCTTGTGTGGATGTGGCTGCTTGAATAGCCAGAGGACTAATCTGGAAGCTGTAAAGGAGTGGTGGACATGAATCCCTTGCAAGACGGATGTTGAAGTCTTAGGGCAAGGTGCTGGCCCTCTTCTGTTAGGAAAAAGAAAAGAAAACAGCAATGTACTCAAGTCCTCCCACACATCCCTGTCGTGCCCTTCTAAGGTACTACCTGGTGTTTCTTTGTGGTCAGGACAGAGATGTAGTTTGGTAGTGTCATTCCCAGTGAATGATGGTTGTGCAAACCTGCTCCCCTGAGTGGGAGACAGGAGTGCCAGCTTGCAGTGGAGAACTGTCTGTTTGTGAGTATGAGCTTATTTGTCTAGGTTAAGCGGGCCAGGCTCACTCACAATATGCAACTGTCTGTACTAGGAGCACATACTCATATTGGGTAGGCAGGTGTTACTGCTATCAAGAGGAAAAAATCATGTAAAACATGATCAGAAAAATAATTCTGTGCTCTCTGTCTCTCCCAGTGTTTCTGTGATAACATGCTGGGGCTCTAGAAAGGTGGCAGCTACTCACCTCAGAGCAGTTCCCTCACTTACTTGTGGCTGTTCTGTTTTCTTCTTGAGATACACCACAAGTGTTGTGACACATGTCTCATACCTTCATTTTGAGATTTGGTTCCAGGTGGTTTCTGTCATAGTATCAATCTCTGCAGTTTCATTCCAAGCCTGGTTTTGGCCAGGCTTTCTCTCTTTTTGACTGCTTATGAGATGGAAAGTGGTTGTCCTATTAGACATAGCTGCTGATTGTATTCCCTTGTTTGACAGGCACAGGAGTCTTGCTTCCACTTTCTTCAGAGGAAAATAGAGAGTAGTGTGTTATAGTCCACTTTATTTGGACTTGTAATGTGCTGCTGTGCAGGTGTGATTGCGTGTGTACCAGAATAGATGTGTGTCTGCATTTGCTGCCAGACTTGGAGATGCAAGTTCATTGTGGGAGTTTGACAAGATGTGTTCAGTGTAGTTGAGAATGTCTCATTTTTACACCTGTTGACTTGCATTTGTCTTTTTTAAAAGTAAAAAATATTTTGCTGTCTTGAGTTTGCTATATGGTCAACTCTCTGTACAGTTCCTTGGGTTTAAGCTGTAATATGGTGTCTCCAGAATAAGTGTGCAAGCAAGGAGTGCTGAGATGCGAGGTGTAACAGAAGGATTTAGGATGGTGTTGAGGACAGTTCTAGTGCAGTTTGAGGGCTGTGCTTTTCCACTTCAATATTAGCATTGAAAATGTGAGTTTATAGCAGGTTCTTTATGTTTTTTGTCTTAGGACTGGTGGATCTACATCTGCCAGATGCTTTCCTCTTTGTCTCTATACGCTGCACTATCTTGCAAAGGAGCAAAACACTCCTAAATTGATTTTCTTGTCAGTGGCATCACAAAGTGGTGCTTACTGTGTAGCACTGGACAGCAAGATCTATATGCAAGTTATGCCATGACAAGCAATTATTCCTTCAAAAGGGAGCTGGGACTGGCATATGGAATAAATACAGAAACTGCAACAAGGGAAGAGTTTGCATCCGTGGGAGTGAACTGCGATAGGGATGGCATGGTATGGCATGAGAGTGTTTTAAAGCTTTGACTTGGCTACGGGGCTATGAAGTGAGATGCATCATTAAGAAAAAAGGGATTAGCTATCCAAATTGTTTCTTTTGGGTGTAAGAGAACTTCATCCAAGGGAGTTGTATAACCCTCAGAAGAATGGATGGGGAACTTGGGAGCTGTCTGATTGCTCTTTGGCCAGCTGGCATGGAGGCAAAGCAACTGGCCTTACACAATTTTATTTCAGGACTTCTGAGTGGCTAGTCAGTAAGGACACAGGCTTTGGAGTTTTATAGAAGTAAAATAATAGCAGGAGTCTGTTTAGGTTAACACAACACCTTTTTTACTATTATATTTTAACAATGCATGTAGATTCATGTACTTTCTAAAAATAAAATAAAATAGACTTTTAAAGTGCATTTAAGTTGCTGCTTGGTTATATTTAAAAAAGTGAAAAATGTATGCCTCTAATTGTTCTGTCACATCTGCTTTTGAGTGTGCTACGTACAGGAATGTTTGGCAGTGTTCAGCTATATATTGACATAGATGAAAACTTACATTTTATTCTTAAGTATGGTGTATTTGAAAGATAAATACCCTTGATGTGTAACTGCCTTTAAAGTCTGTTTCCTTTGGGAATGAGGATTAAATATTTTCTGTATTTTTCAATAGGAGGATGTATCTGGCTGGCTAGCACCAGGAGAAGCATACACACCTGAACCAATGGAATATCATCACCTAAAGGAGATAGACATTAAGCTTCAAATACTACGATCTGATGGAGGTTTTTCTGTGATTTCCAGTTCTTGCTCAAAATCTCCAAGACAGGTTTATCAGGTATATTACAGAACAGAGCTCATGCTGCAGATTTCTTGTTTGAAGTGTGTGTTGAGATCTGATGTAAATGAAAATACAGCATGGGTCTGTGTTGTTTTTTGTTTTTTGTTTTTTTTTTTTTTTCTTTTTTTTCTTTAGTATCTTCTATTTGTTATCAAAGTGTATGTGTTAAAGAATGAAGTGAAATCTTTGGCTATAGAAATAATATGGAAAAATAATAGGTTGCTATTCTGAGTGGTCAAGTACTGTCTTGTTTCTAATATTTGTTGATTCCACACTTTCAACAAGACATTTCATATGCAGGAACTGGTAACCTTGATGTTTCTGTGTGAAGGCCTCAGTGGTTTTGTCAGCATAGTAAACACATCACCCATGGTAATTGATCTTTGGAAATTAGAATTAGGTTTCTTTTTATCTCAGGATTCCAAAAGTCCCTCTTTGCTTATGATCTGAAAGATAAAGCAGTTACTGATAAACAATGTTAAAGACTGTGGAAAATCAACTGAAATTGTATGTCCCTTGTTTTTAATGGCCTTTGTCTTTTTCCCTTGCCAGCAGTATTAAGAAACTTTGGGGCCTCGGCCTTGAGAAACGATTGTTTGAATTTTGTGCATAGAAGACTCCAATTTATCCCATGCCCCAGTAATGTTGCCCCTGACATTACGGGGGAAATACGACATGAAGTACCATAAATCCCATTTTGCACGAATTTGCACAAAACTTGTTTACTTCTGTAAAATTTACAGTTTATAGCTAGAACATATTGGAGAACATACATTATATTGGAGGCTCTGTAGGAGCGTATGTTGGCAAAACTTGTTTTCAGTTACCAGTGTATGAGAAACATCTCTGAAAAGCTAAAATACCTATGTTTTTTTTTTTATTTTATTTTATTTTCTAAAGGCACTTTAATGTCACTTTTTGTACTGCCTTCTTTCTGAACTTCACGTTTTGTTTTACTTATAGTAGTATTTTCTGGTGCTCCGACAGAGGAGTCACTTTTTTTGATGTTGATCATTTACCAACTGGGATTTAATGTGTGAAACAGCGACTCCCTCTAGTGGGTAATCACTTAGGCAAATGCAGTTGGTGCCCAGTCACTTCAGGGGCATGGGCCTGAGCTTGCCAATGATTGCTGGATCTCGTGTTCACTGTTAGGGGACATCAGCTTGAAGTTGGTGTGACTGCTTATGATGATGGACACTCTGGGAACATCTATCCAAGAGGTTGTTGTTGCTTCCTTTTCAGGTAAAAGCTCAGAAGCATTCAGGAACTTGCATTTATGTGTATGCTTATTGAAGAGTAATGCATTATCTTTTTGAATAATATTAAATTCAACCAAAAAGAGATAGCTAATTCCATAAATTGTCCTTCGTTAGTGAAAAGCAGTTGCCCTTCAACTTAGTTTACAGCATAGAAAAGGCTTTCAGACATTGTAGTTTTGGGAAATACAGGATTCCATTTGTCATTTTTTATTTTGTTCAGATAAACTTAAATATGTGAGTCATTTTAATGGAAGCTACCAAAGAATAGGACTATTTAAATGTGGTTTTATAAATTTAGAGAAAGAGCTAAACAGAATAAATATAAGTTGACATGAGTAGGAGGCTTTAGTTATTTAAAACTGGATTTAGGACACTAATTTAAAAAACCCCAACAAAATAAACAATGAAAAGCAAACCCTCCTACTCTGCAGCTGTCTAATTTTATAAGTGTCTTGATTTCCAAGTGCCTTCCCAGCTGACTCCCGAAATCCCGTAGGTGCATTCATTCCTGCTACTCTGTGTGTCCAGAGCTGTTTCTCTCAGCAGCAGACAGGGTGTTGCCCTAGTTTCATTGTGATCCAGACTTTAGGCAAGTCAGTATTAAGCTCTTCATGGACCCAGATTGCATCTACCAAATCAATTTGGCACTGTGACATGGGCTTGTTTATATTTACATAGAATTTCGGTTGCTGATTTTTTTAAAAATGATGAGTGGAGGAGAAAATAGTAGTCTCAACTTTCAGAAACTTGATTGCTTACTGTGGAAGCTTTGTATGAGGTCTAGCCTTTAGTCCTATGTTCATGGTTATGGTTATTTTTGTTTTGGTAGGTAAAAAAAAAATCACTCTTCAATTCATACAAAGCAATAACAACAGGTCAAGTTCTGAATTGGGTTATGTGAGTTCATTCTCAACACTTTATTTTCAAATTCCTTTAAGGGTTGCTTTTTCAAAAACACAGGAAGTAATGTGCAGCAGTAGCTGAGAAATTAGTGACTATTTAGAGTTTAGAGAGGTTCCTGTCAAAAGGCAAGAAAAATTTATTTTAACAAGTAGTTTTTCTTGCTGCTCACGGTCTTTTTAAAAGAGCCTTGTTTATCATGATCAATATTGTTATAAACTGGAAGTTTTAATGAAATTGCTTTTGGGTGTTTTTATTCTTGAAGCACAGGTTCTGATACTAGAAAACAGGCCGGTCACAGAGAAATATCAGAATTCTTTGTACTGAATGTTTCTTGGAGCTTGATTGAAGGCAGCTGATACCTACCCAAAAAGGGTCTGAAGAAACAAGTTGAATGGTGTTTTTGCTAAAGGAAGATCTTGTTTTGTGGTATGTTAGCATGAATGCCACATGCGAGACAAAGTCAGTAAGAGTTCTGGGCTGTCTGCCCCTTGATGGATTTAATTTCACCTGTTTAATGACAGGATTGTCAATTGTTTCTTCAGCTGACCACACCAACTAAATGAGGAAGTAAACTAGCTATCAGCACTGGAAGACTGTTATTCTCTGTAAAACCAGTTTGAAGTGAGACACATTTAATTTACTAATAGAGTGAATTAAATAAGAAGGAATTACTTTATTCACCTTCACACATATACTCTAAATATTGTGAGACACAAAATATTTGTTGATGAGACTGGGGATCTGTAGTATTCAAAACTGAGAGTGATAAGCTGGTATTGTTGAAGTCTCAGATTTAGTTTCTATTGATTTCTTTTATTCAGTTTGTTTAGATTGTATCACTACTTCTTATATAACTGAGGTAAATTCTGTAAACTTAATTGCTAGATAAAGATGTTGGCCCAGGTGCTATGAAATGCAAACTTGAATGTACTGAAAAATTTGTTTCTTAGGGGTTTGTTTTTTTAAAGTTTGCTTTTTCTTTTTTTTTAGATTAAGATACTAGGAGAGAGCTAAAAATATATCCTGCATGTGCAGAATTTATTTTGAATGAGTATAGTTGCTACAGGATACAGGTCTGATGGATGTCCTTTCCTTTGGAGAAGATGCTAATTTCAGTGATATCAATCTTTATTCTAAAAATCAGTGCTGAAATTCTTTCTGATTTCCATGAGACAAATGTGGATTTCATCTGTTGTGGTTGAGTAGGGTACAGTGCATTAGTGATGGGCAACATTGGGAGAAATTGTTAGTGTGTAAATCATCTGCTTGGATTTTCATTTAGAATTTTAGAAGTAATTAAACCAAAATTAGTTTAGAATTGCATATCGTAAAGCTGCATGTTTTTTTCTTCCCAGAACTGCATTACATATAACTTTTAAAATGCAAACACTTGAACACCACTGGCTCAATGGGAGAGCTGCCTTCTGCCACTGGAAGATACTTGGCAGGATATAAGATCTATAGTCTGACTGTGAAGTCTGTAACAACTGGCTTTAATTATCCTATGGTACCATAGCTGAGCTGTTCCAGAGGAGCATTCAGATTCATCTTTTTGTGCAATGAGTCCAGCTGGATTCAGAATGCTTTTCCATGACTAATGTTCTTTTTTACATGGAAATGTTTCTCATCAGAACTGTTATTTCTCTCTGAAACATTTCTTTGTTCTGGTGCCAGTTTTATTAAATATTTAAAAATGCTTCTGTCTTTCTTAATTTGTTCTTCCCCCCAAATATTAAGTTGAATATAATCCTGGCACAGGAAAATGGTAGGATGAAGAATACAAAGTGTAAGACTGTGTGATGAGTACAGTTACCAACTTGAAAAACTGGAAAACTACCTGAAAAGAAAAGGAAATGGAGACGTTGTTTAAAGAAACAATATCTGTCTGTTTGCTTGTCTTATAAAGAGAATTACTTTAATGTTGTTTATTACCTTGATGAGTTCTCTTTTACTTGATTGGGTTTCTGTTATGAAAAAAAATTCAATTTTTAAATTATAACAGTAGACTATAGTTAACAGTTTAAAACTAAATAAATACTCAAAATGATAAAAAATTCTGAAGAAACTAATGTTTCAATTAATGAACTCTTTGATAGCCTATACTCTAGGGTTGTACTTCACCAAGAGATGATTTTGACACATATCTCTATTTCAGAGCATGGTTAGAAGCAGGTTAATAAGCTAATCAGCCAGTTTTGTGGCTCAAGAAGATTGTAACTAATGTCTTTCATTAGGTGGGATTTTGGTTTTATTTATTTATAGAATTTTGGAGAAAAGGGAATGCAAAAATAATTTTAGCCATTTCAAATACTGGCTATTTCCATTTTGCATTATGAACATTACAGCTTTGGCTGTTGCTAAGTAATTATATCTTCCCTTGTGTAAGATATCTATCAATTTTATTTTCTACCTCATCTTAAAGATTTTTAGATCTTTATTAATCTCAATTGACTTTCACTACCTACACATGCTGTGTAATTGAAACAATATGTTTTTAAGCATTAAATGTTTTCTGTGATATAATGCTGCCTGTGTTTATTTCATGATGTATTGAGAAACATTAAAAAAATCAGTAAGTGGGGAAAAGTCTTAACTTTGCTGATACGGTGTGAGTTCTGATCAGTTACTATTCAGAAATGAGAGAGATGAGTCTGTAAGAACTACTTCTGTGAAAGCAGCAGCTTAATGCTCCATAGTGGTCAGATATAAAATAGATTATTAGGAACAATCATGAAAGGAATACAGAATGAAACAGAAAATATCACTGTGCTGCTGTACACGTCTGCAGCGCACCATATAGCTTGAGTATTGTGCAGTTGTGGTCCCTGGATCTCATAGCCAGTACCAAAAAAGTAGAAAACTGGTTACCAGAATGCTCAAAAGTGTAGAATGGCTTCTATGCAAGGGATGACTTACACAGAGACATTCCTCAGTTTGGAAAAAAGGAGTCAGTGGGAATGTGATTGAAATGTGCAAAATCATGCTGAACAGAGAGAGTAAATGGTGACAATTTTTTTACCACCTCCTCTGAATAGAATTATATCAGCTGGGGATGTTGATGGAGAAGTGTTGAAACAAGTACATTTTACTTCTGTTTTCTTGTAAATGTTCATAGTTCAAGTATTATCTACCACACTCTGATAAGACTTGGTTAAGTATCTTGACAGAAATCAGTGTTCAAGAAAAGTTTACGGAGAATAAAGTTTTCATGTTTATCCCAGTTAAGAATTTCTTTTGATAATAGAACATTATTGTCTTCCTAGAGAAGCAGCCAGGCTTAAAATCATCCTAAGTGTAATAAAAGGAAAAATAACTTATGATACGTTTTCTGAAGTTTGAAGAGGTTGCTCGTGTTTACAGTTGCTGAGCTGTCTGTAAAATGAAACATGTACGCCTGAAACTATTTGAAAGACTAGGACAGAGGTCTGCATAAAGCTTTGCTTCAGAAATGTGTGTTGAGAAGAAAGTAAAAAATGTGAGGGTAGTAACTCTTTTGATTTTATGACCCCTCTCACTGTCACCTTTTTAAATCTAGCTGGTATTACAGCAATAATGTTTTGAGATGATTGTTGCAGTTTGATCTCTGTTCTTCATTGAGGCAGAGTTCACATAAAACTATGAAGAAGTCCATGCATACAACCCCCAAAATAAAATACTGGGAAGTATAGTATAGTATTCAGTGATCAGTACTACTAGTTGCGTATTTCTGTAGATATATTCATAACATTGCTTATTAAACCCTGCCTGCACCTCTGATCCATGCTGAGCACAAACTACTCACACAGCAATGCCTTTGTATATGCATAGATTGAAAGACTGGATTTAAAAATGTAATTGCAGAAATAGCTATAGCTTCTTTTTTTTTTTTTTTTTTCTTCGAAGAAAAAGAAATATGATGCCATCATGTTGCTCCCTGCCCTTCCATGAACAATTTCACTTGTATTAAAATCACTGGAAGAACAAAGCCATGTAAAAGCAATTCCTCTTATTAGAGGAAGCTTCAGTTGTTATAGTTAGAGCTGCTTGGCCAACTCTATATTTATACTGCAGATGTAAAGGTCATATCCTCATTTCATGCATTAATAAATACAAGTTTAAGTAAGTCCTTTGCTTTTTTATGTTCTGTATAGGAGTCATGTTTATATCTCTGTTATAGGAAAATTTACTAGTATTGTGGTACTGCCAGCTACTGCTGATTGTAAATATATATTCAAAGATTTGTACTATCTTAAAATACGTTTGTTTTCAGGCAACTAATAGTTTGGTTTAAATGTCAGAACTCATAGATTTGTTCGATGTTTAGAAAAACTTGTTTACAAATGCCCGCAGTTTTTTATATATCGTAGTTGAGAAATTTTCTATTGAAAGTTAAATTGCAAAGATGGTTTTTCTTTCCAATTAGACATGCTGCTTGAAATTCTTTTCCTTGTGTGTGTTTAAGATTGCTTGAGCTGATTCTGAAAATAAGAATGAATAGAGTGTTTTTATTAAATGGTTGCTCATGTTCCTTTGGGTTAACTAACAGAGGTGGGGTTTTTTTGGTTGGGTTTTTTTTTTCCTCCTCTACCATTATTTGAATTCCTCAAATTCTTCTATAGGACCTTTGGTTTATAAGAGAAAGCCCCCCTTTTTTTTCCTGTTACAACATAACTTCACTATTTTGCCAATAGTTGTTGTTCTTAATGATCTAAATTACATGTAATATTGAACCTTGAATGTATTCAGAACTGATACGAACTTCAGAGTCTGATCCAAAGCTACTGAAGAATGTGAGAAAGTGTAACCCCAAAGGTCAATAAAAATTGTGCATCTAACTCCAATTTAGGAGAGACGGTTATTTCTCAGTTACCACGATATCTAGTAAACAAACCCTACAGTCATTTCAGTTCAGTACTTCCTTTCCCTTTTGGCCTAATTCAAATCCCAGTGTGGTTAATAGGAGCAAGCTTTGAACGCCTCTTTCAGTCTCCCCGATTCTCAGTGCATTTTTATAGTTGTAGTAAAATTTAAGCATCAAAGGGTTAGCTCTGGAGACTAAGAAATTCCTCTTAAAATGTGAAGGGGAGGAATTCTTTTATTGAAATAAGTCCAGCCTGATGTTAAGCTGTTGTATTTCAAAATGCATAATAAAAGGTAGGCATTTGCCAAATTTGAAATGGAGACATTATTATCAACTTTTCAGTGTTTTCGTAATAGGAATCAAAAGCACACTTGTCTGGCTTTGAAGCAATATAAAGTCATATATTTAACTTCTGCCTATCCTTCCTTTTGTCAGGAGTGCCTGGTTTATGCAAACAGGAATCTAGAAGCAGTTCCAGGTGAAAAGGTTCTGCGAGACAATAAGGAACAACGTGATCAACAAAATCGTCTGAAAGAAATAGATCATCAGCTGAAATCCCTAGAGAGAAATCTTGTAAGTCTCCTAGTTTTGTCGTATTTTTTTTTTCCTCTCTGTTTTTGGAGTTTATCATTCCATGTGTCTTAAAATAGCATCAAATTCTGCAACCTTGTGTAAATTCCTGAAGGAATCCCCAAAGAAATATACACGCAAAAGTCTCAAATAATTTTACTTAATCTGGGAAACATTTTTCAATCGTAATGCATATTTCCCATTAACATAGTGTCTTTTATAGTGAAAGAAATTATTCTTCTCTATTCCTCCCCTGAGGGGAGATAGCATAAACAATCATATATAAATATATCCTAAGAGGATTTTTTTTTATGGCTCATATAATTCAGTGTTCTTTGAAGGACTGGTTCTGGTGGGAATGTTGTATACACTAAGTTATTGTGTGATTTAGTTTTGATGAACTAATTTAGTGTATTTTTGTAACTTAATTTACTACATGAATATCATAGGTGCAAGGACCTTTAAAATAGGAGCATATGAGTAAAATGGTAGTAAAAATTCATAACTGTTTTCGAATAAGTACATCACATCTCATCCTTACTATGAGTAAAAGTGAGTAGGGAAAAGGCAATTTAAAATCCAAGAGAATAATTTTGTTAAGTAGTAGGCAGAAATTATGTTTATTTCTAAGTCCTAGAGCCAGGATTGACAAACCAAAACATATATACCTCTCTCAAGGAATATATTACTATTCTTTTATCTTTCAGTGTTTATAATTGATTACATTACTCTCCAGTTACAATAAGGAAATTTAACTAAAAACTAGTGACAGGGGAACCTCAAGGACTTCAGAAATCTTTTTACACGTTTTTAAATATATGTTGTAAATGTGCTGTTTGATCTGTGCTGAAAGAGTTACAAAGCAGAAGAGAATTAGGGAGAAAACATATAAAACATTAAAAAGCAGAGGAATTTTAAAGGAGTGTCCTAAGATGTTACAGTTGTATTTCGTTTGACCTTAAAGCTGATGTTGGTATTTCTTTTTGTGTTGGATCTCTCATGAGTCTTCTTAAGAGCACAGGAAGAAAATCTCTTTCCTTTTTTTTTTTTTTTTTTTTTATAACTTTGTACAAGACTTTGAAGGTTGCCTTGCTTAGGTGAAGTCAGGAATTAAACTGCTGAAAAACTCAAAGGAACATTACTGCATTACTGAGCTGGCAGTAGTGGTTAAAACCTGGATTTATATGCCTATTTTAAAGATTTTAGCATCTTTGTTTAGTCTTATTTTTATGCTTTGAGATGAGAAAGCTTTTGTTTCCCCACAGAATGTGCATGTGGAGAAGATGAACTAGTATAGTAGTGTATGAGACTGAGGTAAGCTGACAGCTGGCATGGGTAAACTGATGGAGATGGATTTTTTCACAGTAAACCCCCAGTATTTTGGTACATTAGCAAGAGACATCAGGATAGGTAACTGACATAAAAGATGTGTGCAAATGAAGAAGGTGGTGATTGGGAATAGCAAGTGTGGATTTGCCAAGGGCATATCGTGCTTGACCAGCCAGATTGCTGCCACTCATTGGGGGTTAAGCTGGAGGACTGGGCTGACAGGTACCATATGATACTTGTCAAGGGCAAAGGCAGAGCTCTGCATTATAGAGGAACACCTTGCACTCTAACAGTGCAAGGTGGAGCCTGGCTGGGCAGGGAGCCGCCCTGCTGAAAAGGACCTGGCATCATTGTGGACAACAGACTACAGGTGAGCCAGCAGCATGCTCTGCAGCCTGCAGTGATGAAGGTTAACAGCCTACTTGGCTGTATCAACATGAGCATAGCCAATAGATAGAAGAGATTGCTCAGGCAGACCTAACAGTAGCTTTCCAGTAGCAACAAAGATGTTACAGAGAAGACAGTTGCAGAATCTTTACTGAATTACATGGTGGGAGAAAAAGAAGTGATATCTGTAAATTGAAATGGGGGGGATTCCAGCTGTATTTAAAGAAAAAAGCCCTCTGAGGGTAATTAAGAATGGGAAGCTAGTTGCATTGAGAGGCTCTGAAATCTCCATCCTTGAAAATTTTGCAGACCTGGATGGACCAAACCATCAGGCATTTTATCTGATGTCATAGCTGATGCTGCTTTGAACACCGGGTTGGACTAGAGATCTCCTGACACTACCCCTCCCCCCCAGCCTCAGTCTGATGAGTTTTTGATTCTATAAGGAAAAGCATCAAGAATTTGTATGCATTTCTTAGGTGATAATCTTTATTATTACTACATTGAAGGAAAAATAGTAATTTTTCATGGCTGTGCAAGAAATTGGTCTTGTGTGTGGCTGATTTCAGTGTTTTTCATGTAGTCCTAAAAACATCAATATATGAGTTTGTGTCGGACCAAAAATTCATGTCGTTTACCTTTGGCTTGGGGAGGTCTTTATTCAGCAGTAGGCTTACCTTGTGCAGTGAACGGAGTTAGGACAAATACTGTTCCAGTTATCTTTTATCACCCTTAAAAAGGGGTTTCTGGTGCAGATCAGATAGCAGCATAACTGCAGTGGTATATTCTCCATTACTGATAACACTGTCGTTACAGTTGCAGAACCTTCAGCCACTATCACATATCCAGGATTTATGCTGGCAGAGCTGGAACTGCACAGCCAGTATACTTCTAGCAGGTTTAAAGCTAATTTGGATACAACTACATGCAGTCCAGTCTTTGATTTGGAGGAACAAAAAAAAGCTAATTGACACGTTCCTCCTGACATCAGTTAATTTTACATACTTACAGAGTGTGAGAACAAAGACTTCAGACAAGGAGACAGTGATTGCTTTAGAAGCTGTTCACTTGTGCATGTGGGTCACTACAGTAGGGCAGCATATTTAGCTCTTATCTGTTCAGAGTACCAAAACAATAGTAGACCTTCATTTTAATATGCTGCTCTATTATGTTAGTCAGTTAAAAGAGAGGAGGTAAATAACTGGAGGAATTCTGTGGAACTTCAGTATATTGAATAGGTTAATGGGTAAACAGATAAGTCAGCGCATTGTCATCTTTTCCTAGTCGTTGACCTTTATAGCACTTTTTGTCACTACTGACCTTGTTCATGAGGCAAACACAATCTGAGGAAGTGCGTCTGGGAACTGTATGATAGTCTACAGCAGGCCTGGGAAATGCAGTGGGCTGCTGACTCATTTAAATATTTTGTATGTAAATGGGTCAGTTCCAAGTCTTAGTTGGGTTATAGCAGTGTTGTTTGGTGTCACATTACACGCAGACTCTTGCAACATACCACACATTTTTCCTTGGCTAGATTGTGTGTATTTAGACCGCTAAATCGATAGACTGTATTGTTAATTTGCAGTGTTTATAAATGTAGAATATATCATTTGTACCAATGTGTAACTCATGGCCAGAGTAGCATTGCTGTGTGCTGTGCAGCACCTGGTAAGGCTTCTTCAGGGGGACATACTCTGTCTTCTTATCAGATGCTCTATAGATTGAGTGAGATCACAGCATATGGATATGAAATATTTGTGTATTAGGTCCTCTGCAAGACACTTTGGTTGCCAGTGTAAATAAAGAAGAACTCAACTCTGAATGAAAGTAGGTTTTTCATTCTAACAGTAAAGCGAAATATATAATGTACACTTTTTTTGTGTGACTAAAGAACAGCCTTCAGAAAATACTGCTTTTTTCTTAGTTTCATGTCCTTGATACCTTCTAATCTTATTTCTGGAAAATACAGTTATTACTGGAGGAGATTGGATGAAACAGCATGATCTCACCTTCTGATGCAACATACATGATTGAATAAAATTTGTATAGTTGGTGTGGGAATGTATAACAATCAGATAGCTCTTATGCAGTGTGGTTTGGGTGACTTGTTTCTTTACCAAAGTAATATTTTGGCCATCAATTCTGTAACAAAGTTAGAAGCAAAATTGCTTTCTGCCAAGAAACTGCATGATGGAAAGCTAAACTGAATGCTTGGGTTGAGGGTGTGTGTACATAGATGGCACATTTCCAGAATAATTTAATTATTAATTAATTTCTGGAAATGCAGTTTGTTATTCAATAGGTGGCACTCTTCACTGTATGTCAGAGGAAGAATGCTGAGGCATGGTTCTAGGGGATATGATTACTGGTGAAAATATAATTTCTGTGGTATAGAATACAGGTTGTGAGAGATTGCCTCTCACTTTTGGCAAGATTCCAGGAGTGCAGCTTTTAATGTTCAGTTATTTTTCTAGCTTAGCTAATTAAATTGTCTATTTAAAATTCCCATTGCATTTAAATTTCTCCTTTATTCTTTCCTGTAATTTGCTGTGTAAAATTGGAAATATATTCTTTGCTCTGAGTAGAGGAGGTGATTTGTCAGCAGTTAAGAATGTTATTTCTGAATGCATGGTTATATTGGGCTTTATAATTTTAAAATTTAATATCTGAGAGATTACTTTTAAAAATGCATTTTAAAAATCCCTCAGATAAAATCTCTTGTTGTTGTTTGTTTTGTTTTGTTTCCTACGTGGAAATTATGGGTAGTTTGACTAAGCAGAAATTAGGTCTATTGTGTTAGGGAGTAACTTACAGTAGGTATGAAGGTAACTTTATTTTTTTTGTGTGTGTTTGTATGGCAGAATGCTGTATTTCTTCCACTACTGCAAAATGAATTATTCAAATGGATTTGTATAACGGTAGCTCTACTCTGACCTTCTCTTCAAGGGGGAGGAATACATTTGTCATATTTCTGGAGCAGGCTGTTTAGTAGGTGCTGGCTTCTGAAATGTTAACATGTATGGGTTCCTCCACTACACCTTACCTGATGTGTGCTGTGAGACTTCATGGTTTCAGCTGGAACTGAGCACACAAAACAAGGTTGGAAGATAAAAGTTTTACCTACTTTGCAATTGATATAAAGAACAGAAAATCTGCTCAGTGTTATGCTTGAAGTAATGAAACTAAGGGCTTTGGAATCTGAGTTCCTCCTTTATTTTGAAAAAAATTGTCCCCAGTGAATTAATATACCAAAGAATGTATTGTATGCATTGTTGAAATGTATTGTG